CTGATTGGAGGGAAGGGACACACACCTTCCTTCACACAGCACACAGGAACAGAGCCGAGGATGTCAGTCACATGCTGTGTACTGGAGGTCCCTACTCTGTGTTTTTCTCTTGGTGCCAGAAAACCTGTCAGAAGTGACTCATGCTGACAGCAGAGAAATGTGACAGTAGACAGTAATGACCTTTAGTGCTCTAGATCAGCGGTTCTCCACCTGGGGGTCGCGACCCCTTTGGGGGTCGAACGACTCTTTCACAGGGGTCGCCTAACACCATCGGAAAACACATATTTCCGATGGTCTTAGGAACCGAGACACCGCTGCTCTATCCGTCTCCAGGTGTGGGCGGGATGACATGCCGCCCCTGTCATCTGGACACACCCTCGGGATCAATCCCCGCCAATCACCGGCGAGGAGGTGGAGCTTGGAGAGGAGGAGCCGAGCGGCACCGCGAAGATCGAGCGAGTGAAGAGGAGGAGAGCGGCCAGAGAAGGAAGACAGCTGACAGGTAAGTGTCTGTACCATGGGAGAGGGAGGGAGCGAGCGAGCCCAGGCTGGAGCAGGGGTCAGCAAGGTAAGTATCATTGGTGTCAGTGGGAGGAATAGTGCCCAATCATTGGTGTCACTAATACCAATGATGGGGCACTATTCCTCCCCCCACTGACACCAACGATGGGGCACTATTCCTCCCCCCAATGACACCAACGATGGGGCACTATTCCTCCCCCCCCCCACTGACACCAACGTTGGGGCACTATTCCTCCCCCCACTGACACCAACGATGGGGCACTATTCCTCCCCCCACTGACACCAATAATGGGGCACTATTCCTCCCACTGACACCAACGATGGGGCACTATTCCTCCCACTGACACCAATGATGGGGCACTATTCCTCCCACTGACACCAACGATGGGGCACTATTCCTCCCACTGACACCAATGATGGGGCACTATTCCTCCCACTGACACCAATGATGGGGCACTATTTCTTCCACTGACACCTATGATGGGGCACTATTCCTCCCACTTACACCTATGATGGGGCACTATTCCCCCCACTGACACCTATGACGGGCACTATTCCTCCCACTGACACCAATGACGTGGCACTATTCCTCCCACTGACACCAATGATGGGGCACTATTCTCCCCACTGACACCTATGACGGGCACTATTCCTCCCACTGACACCAATGACGTGGCACTATTCCTCCCACTGACACCAATGACGGGGCACTATTCCTCCCACTGACACCAATGACGGGGCACTATTCCTCCCACTGACACCAATGACGGGGCACTATTGCTCCCACTGACACCAATGACGGGGCACTATTCCTCCCACTGACACCAATGATGGGCACTATTCCCCCCACTGACACCTATGATGGGGCACTATTCCCCCCACTGACACCTATGATGGGGCACTATTCCCCCCACTGACACCAATGATGGGGCACTATTCCTCCCACTGACACCAATGATGGGGCACTATTCCTACCACTGACACCAATGATGGGGCACTATTCCTACCACTGATACCAATGATGGGGCACTATTCCTCCCATTGACATCAGTGATGGGGCACTATTCCTCCCACTGACACCAATGATGTGGCACTACTCCTCCCACTGCAAAATTACAGTTATGAAGTAGCAACGAAAATAATTTTATGGTTGGGGGTCACCACAACATGAGGAACTGTATTAGGGGGTCGCGGCATTAGGAAGGTTGAGAACCACTGCTCTAGATAGAGACAAGTACACACTATAGAGGTGCTCAACCCGTGGCCCTCAGAGTCCTTTGATGTGCCCCCCCTTTCAAAATGAATGGAGGAGTTTTGGTGTGCTTTCTGAAAGTGCACCAAACTCGTAAAATATAATCAAAGTCTATGCAAAGTCCAGCTAACCAGTAGAAAAGCCGCAGGTGCACTGAACTGCACCTATGGTGCAGGTAAACTGCAGCACAATGGTTTGAAAGCAGCCTTAAAGGGAGCTCAGGACTGTAAGGGCTCCAATACTTTTGTGGTTTGCGGTGCAGTAAAACCCCATAGTTGAGATGTGTTTTGTGTTTTTACCACCCCCCGCCCCCCCTTCCCAACCACTGGTGTAGCATCGGGGTCCCAATGGTGACCCCGCCCCATGTTCCAGGGGACCCGTGCCACCTCCCTGTCACATTCTGTTTTACACTTTGACAGGAGGGGTGGAGGGGACGTCATATGCAAGAACAAATTCTTTCCATTTTCCTCCTACTACCACTGAAATATGATTGCTCCTCCTTTTCCTCTCACTGCCAATCAGGGGCTGCAGGAGGAAAATGTTCATTATGCTATTAAAAATAAAAAATGTGAAATTCTGAACCATTTCATTGCATTATAGCCTGCGACCGTTTACCAGATCACTAGATCACTAAAGGGAAATGCTTTGTTCATATTTCATATCAGACGTTTATAACCACTTTAACTCAGAAAAGTATCTTCTATTGCCCTTAGGCTCCTCCAAATGTCCAAATTCCTTTTTTTTTTTTTTTTTTTGCTGTTGTGACCTGACTTCCTGTTAGAGGGTGGCTACGTTCGTCCTCCGTGGTCAAACTGTATAAAGAAATGTAGCCACTCAAGGGGCAGACTGACCATTTGGAAACTCGGGCACTGGCCGAGGGCCCGGGGTCAGTAGGGGGCCCCATGAGATGCCCCTGGTACCTTTTTCATAGGCTTTTTTGAGTTTGGCCAAGGACAAAGGGGCCCCATGATCCCCTATTGCCTGGGGGCCCCATGAGTTGTCAGTCCACCCCTGAGCCACTCTCTCTTGTTCTCTCCTGAAATGAACTATGGGATATGTAGTGTGCATAGACCAGTAAACATGACCACAGCTACCGTGCGCTGCTTGTTCTAAACAAATGGAAGAGAGAAAAAGGGAGAGGTTTGGGAGCTCACAAAGGACTAGGAGGCAGAAAAACACAGTAAGAAGAATAATTTCATGAAAAATAGATTACAGGGCCGTTAAGTAGTAGATGTGTATGGATTATTTTTTGGAGAAAAAAATATATAATTTAGTGTCAGTTTAATGGAATATTTACAGTATATATCATCATCTACCACACATTGTGCGTGCACATCATCAGGGTGCTGGCTGCACGAACCTGGAAGATGCAAGCAGCTCCTAATGAAGTTACAAATGAAGATGAAAGTAGGGGACATGGTGTGCTGCAGTTTCACTGGGTGGGTGAAAATGTTTTTTGAGGTCAACCCAGCCGGGGGGGATAAAAGGGAGCTGAAAAATAAAATTAGAAAAGGGGGGCGAAGTTCTTCTATAGGATTTATATAGCGCCAACAGTTTGCGCAGCACTTTACAAAATGAAGGTAGACATTACAGTTACAATACAATTTGGTACAAGAGGAAACATTTAAGGGATGTATACCTGTGAAGGCGCCCATAGAATACAATACAGTTCTCTAAAATAATAAAATGTAAAATAATAAAACCAATAAAATAATAAAACCAAAAAGATTAATAATATAAATTCATACAAAAATTGATGGATAATAAAAAGTATGGCGCATAACCAAGAATAAAAAGGTGTAAAAAAAAAAAAGCTATACAGCAATATGAGTTCTACAGGGTCCAATGTCTGAAGGTTTGATAAATGGTTGGAGCCTTAAAACGTGTAACCAAGCCCGACCCCAATGTCCCAATCCTGCACCTCTCCGACGCCACGTCACTTCAGGTTCGCTGGATCACAGCGTCTGATTAATCCATTCGATCCCTGCGACCTCTACATTGCCTGATAACACTGTCCTGCCAAACTCTTCACATTCTGCAGCCAGTTTCCAGGATCTTTTAGTGCCGGAAAGCTTCCATGATGTCAAGCACTAATATTGTGCCCATATATTACATTTACCTAGTGAGTGCATATTGTTTTAACCCTTCATTTTCGAGCCCTGGTTCACACTGATGCAGTGCGGAATTTTCAGCGTTTTCAGTGCGAATTCCGCACCACATCAGAATCGCACCCAGTTCAGGTGAACCACTGCAGGTGTGTATGTTAACCTTTTGGCGCCAGCCGCACGCAAATGTGTGGCCTCCCGGGGTCTGGGCCTTGACGCCGAGCGGCCGCACATTTGCGTGCAATTTAGAAAAACATATATGCTGAGAGCGCGCGCCCTGCACGCTCCCAGCACACGTGTCCGGTACTCACGGAAAGGTCCTGATCTCCTCTTTCGATCAGGACCTTTCCCGATCATGTGACTGCCGTGACAGCGAATCACGACGGTCAAATGACCCTAAACCCCCACCCCGCCTACCGGCTTCTGAAACCCTTAAAGGGCCAGGAGGCGCCGGCGCCAAGGGGTTAAGTTAACAACAACCGGAAAGCGGTGTGCAAAACGCCGTGCAAAGTGCAGAATTGTATCGCATAGATGTGAATACCCATGCGATCTGATTCTAGTGCGGACCCAAAAAAGGGTCCTGCACGTTTTTGGTGCGGGTACGGTGTGATTAGAGCCATACATAATGTATGGCTCCAATCGCACCGTACACAAATCGCATGTGATCCGCACAGGAATGCAGTGCGGTTCCTGTGCGAATCACATGTGATATACCGCACCGCACATATGTGAACCCAGGCTTAGGGCCAGTTCACACTAAATGTGTTTCAGTTGCTTTATCTCTGCTTCAAAAACACACAGAAAGTAGGTTATATGGTTGTCAATGTCATCATTCACATCAGTGCTTGCAGTTCCAGTGCGTTCCGGTTGCAGACAAAAACGTAGAACATGCTGCATTTTTTTCTGCACAGAACTGCACTGGAACGTACTAAAAATGCCCAGAATGCAGCAAAACGCACTGGAACGCACAAATCCCTATTTAAATTGAATAAAAAGTGAGGGGGGGGGAAAAAGAACTGTAATGCATAAAAAACGCACTAGGACACGTCAAAAACGCACTGGAACACGCCAAAAACGTTCCAAAAACGCACATGAAAAAACGCATCCGGAACGCACCTGGACTGCGTTTCTATAGTGTGAACCGGCCCTTAATAAATTACCACACTTAGATGGTGGCACCCAATATCTTGTTACTCTTGATACAAAAATTGATTTCATGTTAAATTGAATACCTTGTAAAATCCAGGAAAAAAATAGTCCTTTTCCACGGACAGCCAATAAGAAAACTGTGCCATTTTAGATGTTTGTACACCCTGAAATACTGATAATGATTTGCTGCGGATTCACCTAAAATGACTCTAGTTTACACATGCACTTGGGAAATCGGGTTTTGGCAGCACATTAATTATCAAATGTATTTATTTTCCTTTCCTGCATTGTTTTTGACTCTCTGCGGTCTCTATAGCCTTGTTGCCCACCTTGCAGCCCAGAAAGCAAATGCGACCTTTTGGCATGTACTGTGTGGCCCTTGGGGCCCCTACAGACATTTGACTGTTGTGATGCTTACACAAGCTAGTGAAGGAAAAATATAATTTAGAGTGACGTCTAGTATTTAATGGTTTGATGTATTTTTTTTTTTTACCTGATTCTTACTTTTTTCCTCTGCTGCCCATCTCTGTTCTCTTTTTTTAGGTTTTTATCTAGGAAATTCCAGGTATGGACTAAAG